ATCCATGCTTGACTGTGTTTGTCCGCACTGTAAATTGGCTGCCAAGATAGCATTAACATCAGGCATAGGGAAACTCAGCCCTCCAGATGTTTTTGGCCTACAATTCCCATGATCCCTAGCTAATAGGACCAGTGGTCAGGGATGATGGGAATTGTGGTCCCAAAACATCTGGAGGGCCGAGTTTGCCTATGCCTGATTAACACAGTAAGTTGGGTGCATATTTCATAGGGACCATGTTGCTATGAGGGATGTGTGACACCTTACCATTAGGGAAAAGTTTTGCATATTTTAGTCTCAGCTGAATAATTCACAATGGGAGTGTGGCATAGAGTGAATTGCTGGATGCATAAACACACCTTGCAGGGCAAAATGCCTCAGGTGAACTCCCTCTTTGGGAGAAATAAGCAACTATGAGAGAGATGCAAACCATACTGAAAAATACTTGATGTTTGTTTTGGGGATTTTTTCTCAAATCATTTCCTAGCTCTTGGGTAATAAAATGTTGCCAAGAGAGTACCTGAAATTCTGTTATTCATACCAGTGATGCAGTTACAGAACAAGAAACTCGGAATATAGAGTTTATTCCATTGTTTTGCGAGGCAGACAAATTCATACTTGCACAACCAGAGCTCCAAAGACCTAGCATTCCGATTAACCAATGATACCAGGATAAACTACTTTCATTTTATCACTTTTGGCAGGAAATTTGTGAGTAGTTTACCTGAACTTAAATAGGCAGCTTTGGTTCTGATAGAACCTTGGAAACCAAAATGGAAAACCAGAAGGCAGTAACCTTATGTAATAAGGACATCCAGCCACAATTACAATGAAAAGGTCAATATAACAAAGTTTCATACCCACTTCCCACTGTTTTTAAAAAATTATGTCAGACCAATATCCATTATGGTTGCTCAACCTCAATCAAAAATGCTAAATACCAAGCTTTGATTTTCCTTTCCAAACCACTGTTCATTAAAATGTTTGCTACTGTCCAGTTTTAACTGAACGGCTCAAAAAATGCCTCATCTGTAATTTGAAAAAATAAGTGAAAATACCCAGCAATTAATGGTTAGGGAAAATATTGTACATAGTTCAAATTCCCCTGCTCTTTTTCTTTTCTTTTTTCTATTCCTTTCAATACTCATATTTTAAAAGTTCCTAATTTTTACCAGAGAAATTTTCTAACGAGATTTGGCCCTTGTTCAGGATTCAACTGCAAGCTAGATGTTGTTGGACTACAATTCCCATCAGCCCCAGCCAGCATGGCCAGTCATCAGGAACAATGAAATTGTAGTCCAACATCTGAAGGGCACTACATTGTCTACCTCAGCATGACATGGTTGGCACTATGCAATTGCATTAAGGCCCCGTTTCAGCATTATTGTTATTTTACAATTATATTTATTTGTATTATTCCTGGACAAAAACTTTTAACAGGGGAAAAAATCACATAACAAATACAAAGAGGTTTGTGCAAGGGGTTACAACTCCCAAGGAAATTAAGGAAAAATGAAGAGGTGGGAACTAGATACAATTTGTCCATGAAGATTATTTGTGTTTCATTCACAGGTGCTGTTGGATTCAACGTTCTGAACAGCCACTGCGATGTCTCAATGACTTTTGCTAGCCACAATTGCCGGTGGTCATCCAGCCGCCTTGTTCATAGAGCAAGTAAGATTATATTGACTTGGTATTCTTGCCCTACTGTCATGCCAAACTGCACTGACATCTATAGCTGAAAGACTGTGTTGAAACTGAAAATTCACCCGTCAAATCGCTGAACATTTCTGCTGGGTTGTTTACAGGGTTGGGAGCTCTGCCCCAACATCACTGTGGCCAAATGTGTAAAAGCCACTGTCAGCAGCTCCTTCAAATGCACTTGGTAAAGTCAGATGTTCCATGGCCAAACCAAGGTTCTTCCCCCCAACTGAGTTGAAAATGAGCATCTCTCCTGGCATGGGAACATAGCCTCCTCCCATGTGACTGTGGAAATTTGATGTTTCAAAGAATTGAGGGAAAGAAACATGCTGTAGAAGATCCCATGCCACTAGACATAGCACCCTCTAAGTTGAAGAAATAATTATTATTATTATTATTATTATTATTATTATTATTTCTACCCCACCCATCTGGCTGGGTTTCCCCCAGAAACATTTGTCATAGATAGACCAAAGAACGTATTTGCCCAGCTGAAATTATCTCCCAACTGTTAACATCAGTAGGCAATTCTCATGAGTGAAGAAAGTTGCTGAAAGCCAAAAATATGAACCAGACCTTGGATAGAGAATATAAACCTATACAAAAGGCAGGCTGTTGGTTTGACTTGGCGTTGCTGTTCTTGGCTCCTGGTTTTAATCATTATGTTTCCTTCTCCTTAAAATGTTGACATCAGGGTTTTGCTTTCTTTTGTGTGCATTACTGCATTATTGTTGAAAGAATTCAGTTAGTAAAGATACATGTAATAGATAACGAAAAAGCTCTTTGTTAAAACTGGTCATCTTGCCCCGCACAGAGCTTCTTGAGATCTACTCTGCTTTTCCAGGCAGTGGCCCAGTGGCCAGAAGTGCATTTTCTAACATAAACTACACACACACACACACACAAACACACAGTGTCATCAGTATTCAGGCTCTTTCATAAAGCTACTTATTTATTTACCAAAGCATTCCTCTGCCATCTTCCTGCTTCATAATGGAGACCCAAAGTCAGCTAGCAGCTGCAATTAAAATTATCATAAAGAGACAAAAGCAAAGAAGAGGAGCGAAAGGCCATCAATCACAGATGTTAAAAAGAGCAAGGAGCCATCATCAAAACTGGTACAAAATCCTTAAAGTTAAAAGTTTAATGTGCATAAAATGTAATGTTTATAGCCACTGGAGTCAAAACTTATGTAAAGGTTTGCATTTGCAAAGCAGAGAAATTTGCATTAAAGAGAGAGGCTCCACTCTAGGTGAAAGTAGAAGGCTGGTGTTTTTCCATTTCAGAGGGTTTAGGCTGCCTGATGACTCATCGCTGGAAACCCGAGCAGTTCCCTCATCAGCAGGAAGTCCAAAGCCTTGTGCCACCATGGAGAAGGCCCAGTTCCTCGTGCTCAGGGGTGGCTGCAGGTAGGGATGGGGGATTAATTTGAATCAGAACCTTTAAAGGTGCATTTATCAAAGTCGCCCTTTCTGAAACAATGTGAGAACCAAAACACTGTAGTTGACCATCCAAGATATAGAGGTTGTTGTTAATACTACCTTTAACAAGGGGTGGGGAACCTGTGGCCCTCCAGATGTTGTTGAACTGTAACCCCCATCCTCTGTAACTATCGGCCATTCTGGCTGGGGCTGATGAGAGCTGCAGTTCAGCAACATCTGGAAGGCCACAGGTTCCCATCCCTGTATTAGCATGTACTGTGATAGCAAGAGAAGCTCGATTCTCCTGCATTCTTTGCTATGGAAATCTCAAATGTAATTTTACCATAAATCACATATTGAGTCTTTTGCAAGGTGTGTGTGTACGGTGTGCTGGTGTTGTTGTTCAGAGTTTGGGGAAACAGCGATTTAAACACGATTTTTTTCTCTATTTTCTTTACATGCCTTCTTCGTTACTGGTAAAGAAAAGGTTGTGCAGCTGCTCTGGCATTTTAAACACAACGTAAAAGCAAAAAATCTGTAGTGTTTTTCACAGGAATGATACATAATATATAACACTGTTTTTAATCTAGAGTCAGATTTCAGAGATGCTTGTGTCTGGGTCAGTTAATTTAAATAGGATTCTCTTACGAATCAAAGTATATGGCAGTAAATGGAAATGATTTTCACCTACCCAATTAGGCTGAATCTTGCAGACAGCTGCTATTTTAAAAAATAATAATAAGATGATCATGGTAGTAGACTTTAAGAGAATGGTGGGACGTTCTTCTACATTGTAGGACGCACAGTTTGCTGTGTTTCAGCATGGCTGGTATCTTCTAACTGTGAAATTTTTACATCTGTGAATCAGGTTAGCATGACAAAAAAGCCAATTCTGTTCTGTTGATTATTTATCTAAATGAGAGGATCCCTTAACTTAATTTTTGTCACATGTGCCCTGTAGCAATGTGGTTAGATGAAAAGGTCAGTCCTTTTGCTTTAAAGTGAGTTTGGCTGGAGCTCTGCTACTATTTTACCCATCTTATACTGGATTTCAAGAGGGATAGTTTACCTTGTAGCCAATAATGATCTAATAATAAAAAATAATGCATATGACATGACTGCCCTTTGGTGTTCCTCTGCATTCCTCAGAGGAACATTTGTAAAGGGCCCCATAAAGAGGAAATGGAAGACTACAGGAATCAATCATGAAGGACAGCCCCATTATAAAGGGGTATAATTTTAAGAAGCTTGAAATGATTGCAAGAACAGACAAAACAGATGTTACAAGACCTAAAGCAATGCAATATGCTGACAAGATTGGCTCGTTCATGAAAGAAGGGACCATAAAGAGGATATTGGCTCCTTCATCTGCCTGAAAAAGAGAGGGGGTGTTATTTGCCTTATGTTGGCAGTATGAAAACCAGATTTTGGCTGAATTCAACTTGCTTGACATACTAGTGATCACCTGACTTCTTTAGATATTCTTATTCTATACAGTGGTACCTCAGGTTACAAACACTTCGGGTTACAAATGCTTCAGGTTACAGACTCCACTAACCCAGAAATAGTACCTCAGGTTAAGAACTTTACCTCAGGATGAGAACAGAAATTGCACGGCGGCAGCACAGCGGTAGCGGGAGGCCCTATTAGCTAAAGTGGTACCTCAGGTTAAGAGCAGTTTCAAGTTAAGAATGGACCTCCGGAACAAATTAAGTTCTTAACCAGAGGTACCACTGTACAATATGGTTGGTTTACATATCTGTACCATCATTTATCGACTGTAGCATCAAGTGGGAAGAGAAGCCTTAGAATCATAAAATTGTAGGGTTGGAAGGGACCACGGGGTCATCCGGCCCAACCCCCTGCAATGCAGGAATGTTTTGCCCAACATGGGGCTCAAACCCCCTGAGATTAAGAGTCTTATGCTCTACCGACTGAGCTATCCCAGATTAAACCCTGCAAATTAATCTTGTATAGCACCTGCCACCAAACCAAGCAGAATGCATTTCAGTGAAGACAGCTTAAACAGCTGTTGAGTGATCAAGTTGGGATAGCTCAGTCTGGAGAGCATGCGACTCTGAATCCCAGGGTCGTGGGTTCGAGCCTCACACTGGGCAAAAGGTTCCTGCATTGCAGCGGGTTGGACTAGAAGACTCTCAAAGTCCCTTCTAACGCTACAGTTCTATGATTCCTTAACTTGCGCATGCATATTTCTGAATTTAGAACACTTTCCTTAGATGTGTTCTCCTTAGCTTTCTGTCCGGGTAGGTTCCCTTGCCTTGAGAGCCAGTGTGGTGTAGTGGTTAGGAGCGGTGGACTCGTAATCTGGTGAACTGGGTTCGCTCCCCTGCTCCTCCACATGCAGCTGCTGGGTGACCTTGGGCCAGTCACACTTCTCTGAAGTCTCTCAGCCCCACTCACCTCACAGAGTGTTTGTTGTGGGGGAGGAAGGGAAAGGAGATTGTTAGTCGCTTTGAGACTCCTTTGGGTAGTGATAAAGCAGGATATCAAATCCAAACTCCTCCTCCTCTTCTTCTTCTTCTTCTTCTTCTTCTTCTTCTTCTTCTTCTTCGAGGTCCAAGTGGCCATGGACTCCGTCCTTTACCAAAGCTGCTAATTATAGCAGCCCTCCTTGACCTGGTGCCCTCCAAAGATTTTAGAGACTATAATTCCCATCACCCCGTCCATTTGCCATGCTGACTGGAATTGATGATATTTGAAGCTTTACAACATATGAAGGGTACCAGGTTGAGGAAGGCTGAATTGCACTCTGGGGCTTTAAATGACCATGGAATTAGCTGCAGAACCCCAGTGAGGCAGGGTAGGCTGTTACTCAAAGTAAAAACCCCACATTTTGTACCAATCTGAAGTTTCATTGTACCACCTCTTTGTTCCTTCTTTGGTGATAAAACATATTTTAGCTCTGCTCATGCATTGCTATGTACACAAGAATGTTTAAAGTTCTGGCCATGTTTTTATGGCATCTGAAGAAAACTGTTGAGATGGTTCTGCAAGTGTCCTATTTTTCTTTACTCTCTCTGATCAATGCCAACTGCAGACAGGAGTTAAGGCACATCCCCATTGTTTATTCATTTGAAGGATGTTGATGTGCTCTTTAAGCTCATTTAGTTTATTTGATGTGGTCTAGTGGAGGGTTGAATAACTTTCGGCTCTTGCTCCAGGCTTTCTACAGATCTCAAAAGCAGGAAATAGATTACAGAAGTTAGGTTCCCCCCCCCCATCTTCCATTCATGAGACGTCTGTGGTTAATGGCAGATGAAGAGTTCTTGAGGCCGAAATACCATTTAGACTCCTCCTTCCTTCTTTATCTTTTCACATACTAACCTAAAATATATTCTAGGGTTTGCTTCCTGTTCCCAGATAAAAACAAATATGTCACCTAAAGAGGATTTGCTGTTATGACCTATAAAATTTAACATATGTTTGTCCATTCAGTTATGATTTCAGTTCTAGTGATCATGGACAATTCCAAACAACCTTTTTATTGAGCATTTATCCTGATTAGTTTGTAGGGAGTTTAGATGACATTGCATCAAACAAAGTGTTATCCTACACTTTCCAACTTGGGGGGGGGGGGAGTGCGTTTGTTGCACAAAACATCCCAATCAACTTAAATTACCCTGAATTTGCCAATACATAATTAAATCCCACCTGAAAATTGTGACACTCTGCCATCTGATTTAACTGTTACGCTTTAGTCTTGCAGGAAGACATTTTTGTTCTTTTCCATTTTTGCATCTATATTATTCTGCATTGTATTTGAATACTTCATTCCTACTTTGTAATGCAACATTATAATTTCTTTTGTCCTGTTTTGTGATGACATATGGTTATTTAAAAATAATAATAAATCTTGAACTTGACCCCAACCCACAAGCATGATCTATACCTGGAGTTTTTGCTTGATCCATTCACCTGTTTGTAAAGGGCTGAGGGACAGAATCAAACAGATTATTGGTGCTCTCACAGCTGGCAGAGAGACTGTCTAGTTGGCAGCTGCACATTGATCTTTGCACATAGAAGCACATAGAGAGAGCTTTACTGCATATGGGCATATTTGGAGGTAGGCCAACACTTAAAAAGGCATTTCAGATTCTGGTCTCTGCCAAGAATTTCTGTAGTTTTGCAATCACACTTTTCTATTCTATTTTTTAAAAATGTTTCTGTCTCTTTCCCAGTTGCTGCATGAATGACCCACACGCATAAGACAGGGAATTGACGGAGTGTGGAGGCAAAACACTGAAAAAATGTAAATGACTAAGCCTGAAGTGCTGTGAAATACCAAAGTAAACAAACACAAAGGAAGAGCAAGTGATCTCTTTCTCATCTTTCTCAATTATGATGGTGCTAAGGAGTTATCTGTATAAGTTAAAATAATTCAGACAGGTGTTATTTTATTTATTTATTTGTAGCTAGCGTCTGTTCCTGCATCACACTCTCTAAGACTGCAGTAATCTGAACAGAGTACTAAAATAAAACATTATGGCAAATGCACTGAGTTTATAGACTCCAGTAATTTTACTGTGGAGAATATTTTGAATGACAATGATTTTCTCTCCCCAGCCCTTTTTATTCTGAGATGCTTTTTAATACTTCATATTATTCCAATAGGGAGGAGAACACTAAACCAGGAAGGTAATAATACACTTGATAGATCTACCACACCTATATGACTTAGGCTACAATCCTAGCCCCACTTACCCGGGAATAAGCCCCACTGAACTCAGTAGGACTTATTGCTGAGTAAAACATGATTAGGATTTGCAATGAAATGACTGAAGTCAACTGCTTGATCCACATGCTCCTTTATGTATAGCTTCTGCTTCAGACAGTCTGTCCAGATAAGCGATCACAATAACACAATGAAGGACTGGCAGACTTTGGGCTCACAAATTTCAGTGGTGCCCTGTGCAACCCCCCCCCCAATCCATTCTACACCATTGTTGTGGCTCCCCCTGCAATGTGATGCCCAGAGCAGCTGAGCCAGCTGTGCTACCCTAAATTTGCCTCTGGATAAAGCGAGGAAAGGGAAGCATGCTCACAATGGAAACCTAATTAGTATTCAGGGTCGATCCATCTTCACCTGGAGAAAGCATCTTTCTCTATACAGTAAAAGAGCCAATGCCTTGAGCAGCATAGCCAAATTTGCAAGAAGGTCCACGTCTATTTGGCCCTGTAGACTTCACAGGGGAGGGTTTTCTTTAAGTGTGGTGCTGCTACCCAAAAAGCCCTGCTCCCGGTAGAGGCTGGTACCACTATGAGAAATAAGAGGCACACAACAGGGCTCCTTTTAAGGATCCCATGGTCAGGGAGGTCAACAGAGGAAGCTTCTCTCTGAGGTACCATTTACAAAAACTGGACTTTTAATTCACCCCAACTTATCAGAAGTACAGAGATGAAAGAATGTCCGAGGGGTGTCATAGGATTTTTGTGAGCTGGCTCCACCCTTCATGCATTCAGCTACCATGGCCCTCACTGATGTGAAGGAGCTCAATGCATGTACAGTGGTACCTCGGGTTACAGACGCTTCGGGTTATAAACTCCGCTAACCAGGAAGTGGTTGCTCCAGGTTAAGAACTTTGCGCAGGATTAAGACAGAAATTGCGCGCCAGTGGTGCAGCGGCAGCAGGAGGCACCATTAGTGAAAGCGCACCTCAGGTTCAGAACCATTTCAGGTTAAGAAAGGACCTCTGGAATGAATTAAGTTCTTAACCCGAGGTACCACTGTAGTGATAAGTACGCAGCAGCAACCATCACCACAGACACAAATTAGGTAGAGTCACCTTTAAATTCAAACTGAATCCAATTTCCCCCTGTCCCTGTCTGGGTGAAGTCTGGAGTTTCATATTGCTGTTCTGTCTTGTTGATGAGAATAAACATCCTTGCCTCGTTTCCTGGACAGTGTTTCCTCTAAATCTTCCATTGCACCCTCCTTATATAGTGATTGCTTACTGAATATAATGAGAACTTCAATCTATGCCTCGTAACTTTGTAAAAAACCAACACACCAATTCATGAAGAAACACAACATTTCTTCAGAATTCTGCTTTGCTTTCTGTGATGTGAGGCAGAGTTAGTCATCTTTTAATAGTTACACTAAAAATATCCAGGTCAGGGATCATCAACCATTCGTGATGGAAGAACCTGGCTTACTAACTACATTGGGAATGACTAACATGCAAACGCAAATATTCTTCATAATGCCCCCAGCTTAGTCAGTTGCCGGTGATTAACATTTCATCACAAACATTAGCTTTCATTTAGAATAGTTCTCAGGACCATGAATATCACTGAATTTGTGGAGTTAGAATTTGAAATGTTGAAGAATTTGAGTTAGAAAACACAGATAGCCAAAATTAGAAAGTTTGCAATGCAGAAGGCAACTTTTTCTTTAGAAATATACAGAGGTCTTCGGATAACTTGGTTGTTGAAGCAAGACTGAAGAGAAACAGGAAGCTGTCCTGGACTCCTTCCTGTCCAGGATGATCCAACAGCCAACCCAAATGGACGATCAGTCCATGGTCAGGGCATGAGGTTACTAAGCTACCTGTGCAGAGGCTGCAAGGAGCTATTCAGCAATTCATCATATGGGGCAGTTGTTGTTGTTGTTTAGTCGTTTAGTTGTGTCCGACTCTTCGTGACCCCATGAACCAGAGCACGCCAGGCACTCCTGTCTTCCACTGCCTCCCGCAGTTTGGTCAAACTCATGCTGGTAGCTTCGAGAACACTATCCAACCATCTCGTCCTCTGTCATCCCCTTCTCCTTGTGCCCTCCATCTTTCCCAACATCAGGGTCTTTTCCAGGGAGTCTTCTCTTCTCATGAGGTGGCCAAAGTATTGGAGCCTCAGCTTCACGATCTGTCCTTCCAGTGAGCACTCAGGGCTGAATTCCTTAAGAATGGATAGGTTTGATCTTCTTGCAGTCCATGGGACTCTCAAGAGTCTCCTCCAGCACCATTATTCAAAAGCATCAATTCTTCGGCGATCAGCCTTCTTTATGGTCCAGCTCTCACTTCCATACATCACTACTGGGAAAACCATAGCTTTAACTATACGGACCTTTGTTGGCAAGGTGATGTCTCTGCTTTTAAGATGC